TAGAGAGAGAGAGAGAGAGAGAGAGAGAGAGAGAGAGAGAGAGAGAGAGAGATTTCACACAAAAGAATGCTTTAGACGTCCACTAGAGTAAAGCCTTATATATATATCATTAGAACACAGAGTAGTCTACTAAAAAATAAAACAATAAGAACATTTCTGTTTTGCAAATTAGAGAACCTAATAAGCATTTTATTTCAAAGATTGAAGGCTGTGTATAATTATAGCTTTATCATGGCACTTTTACACCTCATGTGGTACACTCAAAATAATTCAGAATGAAATATTTGTACATGTAGCTGGGATCAAAACATTTCTGGTGCTTGACAAGCACAGAACCCACTCTTTCAAACACATTAATCAACACAATGAGGGACAAATTTTCTGGTATACTCAAGACATCTTGACGCCCTACAACAATTAAAAAGTATAAGAAATGTTCGAAGTACGTACAATTAAACATATTATATATCTGCTTAGCTGGTATACAATTTAGACACAGACGTAAGCCTACAATATAATTTTTACATCTGATTATTAATAACACAAATACTGAAATAAACTGACAATAAACAAATAAACAAAAACAATAACAACAACAGATTGCAATCTCTGTGAAATTTATTCTCATCCAAGTAGCAAAAAAAAAAGTAAACATCTGCTTAACAGAAAAGTGAGAAATACACATTTTCATTTCAAATGCTGAAACATGATGAAAACGAACAAGACAACCATAACAAAAACAGATTGCGATCTTTATCAAGTGCATATTCTCATCCATTTAGATCTAGATGTAGTAAGAATTGACCCCGCTGAACATATTTTGCATTAAACAATTCACAAGAGAGCAACAACAGTGGTAACGGGCATTCACCATCATACCCCAGGTTTGACTAGAAGGACTTGAATGTCCATGACATTTGTACCCGTGAGACCGGGGACCACCAGGTTCGCTCCTTCGTCCACCTGAGTCAGCAGATTGTAGCTGTCATTCCTGTCAAGAAACTCGATGACGTTCACTCCAGAACTCTGAGCTTGCTCACAAAATCTGGGACTTACCACCGCTCCTGCTACAGGAGTCGGCCCATCTTGACCATCAGTTCCGGCGGCAAGAAAAACAATACTGGGCGGACTGATTTCGTCGCACGTTTTGGAAGTAGAGCTGTCTTGTTTCTGTACGGTTAAATCAGTTTGTGCCGAGGCTGGTAGGAACCTTTGTAGCTCCAACGCGGCCGATACAGCCATTTCTTGATTGCGTCCTCCTCTCCCATTTCCTTTGACCATCACGGTTGTTTCTCCCCCAGATATTATGCACACTCCGCGCTGCATCTCCTTCGCTCTCACAGCGAGCTGGCGAATTTCTTTCAACTTATCAACGCTCAGGCTAGGATACACCAATAGAGATCTCTCAAGCTTTTGGATTTCTTCCTCTCTATTATTACCAGATGACAACCCATCGACTAATAAATGGGAAATATAGCTCGCTAGGGTGGCAAACATCTGACTGACTTCTCGAGCTTCACCTTCCTGCTCTGTGCTAAGAATGATGCTCTGGTACCCAAGCTCGTCGCTTGTCTCTTTTGCTTTCTCACAAGCAATCTTATTGGTACCCACAAGGACATTATGCACTCGAGACCAGTCCACTGACCTAGCCTGGTCTTGGGTTTCAGATTTCGTCGAGGTGAGCAATGTTTTGACTGATTCTGGAATGGAGTCCTGAATGCTGAGTTGGGCAAACAGATCGAGACACTCTTCCGGGGTTGTTCGGTCTGGAACTGTCGGTCCGCTAGCTATGAAGTCGAGGGGATCTCCGATCACGTCAGAGAGGATTAGAGATATCACCTAAAAATAGATGTGGGCGAGAGAGGATTAGAGATATCACTTGGAAATAGATATGGGCGAGAGAGGATTAGAGATATCACCTGGAAATAGATGTGGACGAGAGAGGATTAGAGATATCACCTGGAAATAGATGAGGGCGAGAGAGGATTAGAGATATCACTTGGAATTAGATGTAGGCGAGAGAGGATTAGATCTTCTAGAGATATCATTTGGAAATGGAAGAGGACAAAAGCACTTAACAATTCAGCATTTTTTTGTTGCTTCTTTTCTGTTTTTGTTTTCGCCTTTGCTTGTTTGTATGTTTGTTTTTGTTGCTGTTGTTGTTATTGTTGTTGTTTTGCTTTCGGTAAGAAACTATCGTTACAACAGACGTGTTCCTGTATTCATAACATCTGTATAAATGTAAGATCTCATGAAATATAGAAGAGCACGGGATGGGTAACGGGATGACAGCCGTTATTCCCGTTCTTTTCCCAGAAAAGAATGTACTAATAGTACTATATATAGTTCACACAGATCAAGGGCAAACCATTTCTTAGTTGGTATCCTGCTGGACTACAGGGCGGATAGCAATGGTTCGAATATCCAACGTGGTGTTATGAATTTGGGTTGTATTTGGGAGGCTCCCCACTATCTTGGTTCTGCCCTATCAGAGATAATTCGAATGTCCCGCATGTTAGATAGCCACACAGTGTTGAAAGAAATTTATACAATGGAGAGAGAGAGATAGATAGATAGATAGATAGAGAGAGAGAGAGAGAGAGAGAGAGAGAGAGAGAGAGAGAGATAGAGAGAGAGAGACAGAGAGAGCGAACAAGAGAGAGAGAGAGAGAGAGAGAGAGAGAGAGAGAGA